AAGTTGAGGTGCACACTTGCAATCCCAGCATTTGGGAAGTTGAGGCATAGAGGATCAAAAGTTCAAAGTCATCCTTGGGTACACAGGGAGTTTGAGGCCAACCTGGACTACATAAGACCATCTCAAAAAATTAAATAACTAAATTAAAAATTGGACCAACACTTACGTACAGCAACCCCATACAACTGTACAATTAAAAAAAAAAGTTCAATTAAAAATGTTACCATTAAAAAAAAAAGTGCATACCGGGAACTGGAGAGATGGATGGCTTAGCAGTTAAGAGCAAATACTGGTCTTGCAGAGGACTCAGGTTCAGTTACCAGTACCCACATGGCAGCTAACAACTAACTGTTCCTAACTCCACTTCCAGGGGATCTGATGCCCTCGTCTGACCTCCAAGAGAATTTCACACATGGGTGTACCTACATACATGCAGGCAAACCACTCATAAAATAAATATGTCAAAAAAAAAAAAGGACTAGGAGTAAGAACTCCTACTGTAGAAAGATGGATACTGCGGTTTCAGAGGACCAGGGTTCTGTCCCCACGCGTACCTGACAGGGGAGGGACTCACTACCACCTGTAGCTCCAGTTCCAGGGGGTCTCATGCCCTCTTCTGGCCTCCACAGGACCCTATGCACATGTGGTGTACAAAAACTTAGGCAGGCAAATACACATACACATTTAAAAAAAAAAAAAATCAACCTTTTATTGGTTTGTTTTCTGAGACAGGGTCTCCCTGTAACCCCACCTGGCCTGGAACTCACAGAAATCTGCCTGTCTCTGCCTCCCAAGTGTTCGAATTAAAGGGGTGTACAGCCACACTTGACTAAGTCTTTTCTTTTTTTTTTTAAGTTTCCCAAAAGTCAATAGACACCCGTCCAAGTCACTGAACTGCAAAATTGACTCAAAATGGCCTTAGGGACAGATCCTTATAACATCTAGTCCAGGTCTCCGAACATTATACAGTGGCTGCAGGTAACCAAGAACTAAGTGTATGGCAGCTGATAACCTGTTTCCTCACAGTAAAAAGTCTCTGAAGTACACTGAGACAAAGGCTTTATATTACGTATGCTCTTTATGGATAAATATTTTCCACCGTGTCCCTTATCCATGTCTAAAAAGAAAGCATGTCTCCATTTAATAAACATATCTTTTTAAAAAAATTTTATTACTTTTATAAAATACTATTATTTTATGTGTATGAGTGTGTTGCCTGAATGTAAGTGCACCAGCACTGTGCAATGCCGCAGGTCAGAAGAGGGTGACAGATCCCCAGGAACTGGAGTTATAGACAGTGGTTAGCTGCCATGTGGATGCTGGAAATCAAACCCTGGGCTTCTGCAAGCGTAGGCGGTTCTCTAACTGGCTGAGCCATCTGTCCAGCCCCTTATTACGTTTATGTGTATGAGCGAGCGCATTGTCTGCATGTAAGTACACCTGTGTTGTGCAACGTCGGAGGAGGTCAGAAGGCATCAGATTCCCTGGAACTGGAGTTATGGATAGTTGTTAGCTGCCATGTGGGTTCTGGGACTCAAATCCTGGTCCTCTGCAAGGGCAGCCAGTGCTCTTAACACTGAGCCATCTCTCCAGTACCACAAACACATTTTCTGCATCCAGTGTCATTTACGCCTTACGTGGTCAGCTCGGTGGTACTGTACCCACTTGGTAGATGAACCGAGGCTAGATGAGAATTAAGTTACTTTTCCACTGGCAGAACTGGAACTCGACTCCTAAGCGCAAAGTTAGGAGTTCCTTCTCTAAGCTGTGCAAGCACAGGCAACTCGCGGAACTTTGCTGTGAATAAGCGTGCCCCGCCATGCTTTTCGGGTGGTCTCGGCCGCGAGGAACCTATCCTGGAACTCGCAGCTGACACCGCTACCACGGCCGCGCGAAATCACCCAGCAAGCTCGAGGTCCACCTCGTCTCCACGGAATCTACCGGAAAGAACCTCACAATTCAGTACTTTCACAAAGTAGCCATTTGCACTGCTTGGAAAATCGGGAGGCCGTGCCTTGCAGCGGGCCACGTGGGCAGCGATGCGCTGCCATGCCCGCAGCAAGCCTGCAAGCACCCAGGCGCGCCCCGCCCCACCCGCCGCGCGGCGCACGCGCCCTCCGACCTTGCGCGGCGGCCGCCGCAGGGTGGCGCTACGGCCCCCAGACGTCCACCCGGTCTACTGACCTTTGTCCAGTTCCATCAGAGCAGAGTTGGCATCCAGCTCTTGTTCGCCATAGCCGGCGTCCGCCAGGAAAGACTTGGTAGAGTTGGCCGCCATGACCCGAACACTGAGTCGACTCGGCTAGTCACAAAGATAACAAATTCTGACTCCGCACCGCCATCTTCCGCCACCGCACTCTCGCGGATTTTTCCCTCCGCGCGCCTCGGGACGCGGTACGCATGCACCCTGCTCGTACCGCGATTCGCCAGCGGCCCAGCGGGCCCCCCGCGCAGGCGCACAGGCGACTCCCCGGCTCCAGGTTCCCGCGGTTCGGCGCGAAGGAGGCGGGGCTTAGGAGGGAGAAGCGACGGCGAGGCACCCGGACGCGGGGGCGAGAGCCAATCAGCGGGCGTGACGTCAGTTTGGCGCGGAGTTTGGCGGCCGGGGCTTACAGTGGCGGGAGTTGGAGGTGAGTCCGCGTCGCGGTGTGGAGCTCGCGGGCTGCCGCGTCTGCGGGACTCGGGGCGATCCCCGCGGCTTCTCCCTCAGGCGAGCCTCCCCTCGGGCCCAGATGCTCTTCAACTCGGTGCTCCGCCAGCCGCAGTTCGGCGCGCCGAGGCTCGGTGAGTAACGGTCCTGCGGGCCGGCGCCGCCCCCCCCCCGCGCTCCGCCTTGGCGCGCGGCCGATTCCCGCTGGATCCGGGCCTCGCGTTCTCCGGTGGGTCGGTGAGGCCGAGGGCCACCGCGGAGCTGGGAGCCGCGGTCCCCGGACGCCCTCCTCGTAGTCGGGCTCCCACCGCGTGGTAGGCCGGAGGAGGGGCGTCGAAGCCGCGCTGGCCCCCCGCTGCTGACGTCAGTGCCGCGCTGTAGCTGCCGAGCGCGTGCGGGGTGGGAGTTGGGGGCGGGGGCCGGCCGGGGCGGGCGAAGTGCTCCCCCGGCTGCGCAGCCCCCTCCCTCCCCCGTCGCCGCAGGGTCGGAAGGTGCCCCTGGTGCACCTCGCGCGCAGCGCCGTGGGGACCTTGCAGGTTACTGCTGCAGACGTCTTAGCTGCTGTAGATGGTCCCAACCTGAATCACAGCTATTTCCCCCCACGGTGGCATTCGGCCATGTTCCCGCGAATGTGTGCAGCGCCTGCTCGTCTGCAGGGTTAGAGTCTGCGGAACGGTGGGCGTCGGCACCCTCAGTCTTTGAAGAACTTGGAGAATATGAGTAGTCTTCCTGCTCCCCGCTAAACTTTATGACCGATCCCTCTCCTGGGATACCCGCGTGGGGAGTGGAGTGGCGGTCCTCGGGTGCGAGCGCCCGAGTTTGGATTCCACCTCCTTTTTTTGTGACCTGTGGGAATCTATTCATTCAGCTTTTGTATGTGACATTTTCTGTCTGCCGGTTTTTTTTTTCTCTCCCCTTCTCCTGTTCACAAATAACCATTGTTAGTGTCACGCACTGGAATTCGTTTATGCTACCTCCTGAAATCTACCGTTTCCTCTCCAGTGTTGGTGTGGCATGTTTGGTCCCCACTCCCGTGGATTGGTAGCCGTAAGTAGAGCTTCCACCACCCACAATCTTCCATTCCTTCTATTTTGGATCGTTTTTTAAAAGCTGTTCATTTTCGCAGACTCATGAGCGTCTCAGATTCAAACGCCCCAAACTGAGTTTGCTTTTTCCCCAAGCCTTCGGTATCACTTACTTTAGGGAGTGATGTTTATTTTAAACTAGTGTTCCTCACCAGAAACTTCTCGGACTCAATATTCCTCACTATTAACACACTCAAAAAGTTCCCTTAGGGCTGGAGAGATGCTCAGCAGTTAACAGCACTGCTGCTCTTGCAGAGGATCCAGGTTCGATTCCCAGAGCCTGCTTCTGACATCCAAGCACTACATGGGTTCACCTACATACATGCAGGTGATAGAGTCATATACATAAAATAAAAAATAATAATTAAAAAAATTTTTTCCTTGAGGGGCTGGAGAGATGGCCCAGCAGTTAAAAGCTGACTGCTCTTGCAGAGGACCCAGGTTCGATTCCCAGCACCCACATGGTGGCTACGAACCATCCTTAACTCCAATTCCAGGGGAATCCCACGCCCTCTTCTGACCTCCACGGCATTGCACCACACGGGTGCACTCACATATACAGGCAATACACTCATACACATAAAAATAATAAATAAAATTAAAAAAAAATTTTTTCCTTGAGAGCCAGGTGTGGTGGTACACACCTTGGGAGGCAGAGGCAGGTGGATCTCTGTGAGTAGGGCCAGTCTGGTCCGAGTTCCAGGCCAGCTGGGGCTAAAGGGAGATCCTGTCTCAAAAAAACACAAAAAAGAAAAGGCTTCCTTGAACTCACTTGAATCCATTGTTTTCTCTTCATCGCAGTGGTTCAGCCTCTTTGCCACATATTGGATCTGTTCTATTTTTAGCATTCCCTTTCCCTAGTCCTGCCTGGACTCTAAAATCTTCCCTATGTCAACAAGTCTCTTAAATGTACTTTTAGTTTCCCCATCTCCACTGATGTTTGTAAGATAGAAATTTGATTATTCTTTTGTGTGTGTGGTTTTTTAAATATCTATTTTATGTGTTTGAGTGTATTGTCTGCATGTATGAGTGCACCTGTGTCATGCAATGCTGTGGAGGTCACAAGAGGGCTTCGGATTCCCCTGGAACTGGAGTTAAGGGTGGTTCGTCACTGCCGTGTGGGTGCTGGGAATCGAACCCGGGTCCTCTGCAAGAGCAGTCAGTGCTCTTAACCACTGAGCCATCTCTCCAGTCCCCTCTTGTGTGTTTTAATATTAGTATCTAAAGGTTTTTATTATAATGTCAGATGCAAATGATTTAATTTCTGGCCACATTGTGAATATTAACATCTTAAAAATGCTATAATAGGTGCTGGAGAAACAGCTCAGCAGTTAAGAACATTGACTGATCTTGCAGAGGACCTGGGTTCAATTCCCAGCACCCACATGGCAGCTAATAAACATCCAGAACTGCAATTACAGGGGATCTGACATCTTTTGACCCAGCACTTGGGAGACAGAGGCAGGTGGATCTCTGTGAGTTCAAGGCCAGCCTGGTCTACATAGTGAGTTCCAGGACAGCTGGGGCTACAGGGAGACCTGTTACCCCCGCCCCCCAAAAGAAAAAGCTATAGTAATCTTTGAAGTCCATCTCAGAATATAGTGTAGTAACTTGGTAACTGTATCCTTTATTTTTTTAATCTCATGTATGTGTATGAGTGTTTTGTGTGCCATGTGCATGCAGTTCCTGGGGATGCCAGAAGAGGGTGTCGAATCCCCTGTAACTGGAGTTAACATGTTTTTTAGCCATTATGTGGCTGTTGGGAACTGAATCCATGACCTCTATAAGAGCAGCCAGTGTTCAAAACCTTTGAGCCATCTCTCCAGCCCTCAGGGTCCTTTATTTTTAGCAACATATTCTTCTTTAGCTGTTAAGCATTCTACATAGTTGCTTTTTCCCTTTGAACTTATTTTCATTGTATTTAGCCCCAGAATTTATCCTAATGTAATTTAAGTGTGCGCTTGAAAAGTTATCGCCCTATTATAGTACTGCAGAAAGCGTAAATTACTAGTTTCTGTGATCTTTTGGGCTGATTTAGTTTGTGATTGTTAGAAACTAAGTATTATTATTTTAAGCAAAAAGTAAAATCTATTGAAAATCTTTTAGAAATGGATTTTGGGTGTTTGTGGTGCCTTATAGTCCTGATTGTCTCATAGTTAGGGCACCACTGAATTTTTGTTTTTATTCAAAAATACTTGAACACCCAGAAGTGTGTGTATCTTGTGACTGCACAGTGTAAGATGGGGACATGAGAACGCCTTTCTTTTGTAAAGTAGAAGGAGGTGATGAAGGTGATAGAAGGGAGAACCTCAGCCTTCTCAGAGCAGCTTTGGAAATAGATGTATGTAGAAACTGAGGGTCTAGAAGTTGAGTCTCTGAAGACTTTCATAACCTTGGATACTTGAGAACTCTGCACGTGATTTTAGCTGTCTGTCTATTGAGGAAGGAATGGGCTTTTGCACATGACTGTTGGGGTGGCATTACAGGTTCATACTGATAGCAAAGTAAAAATCCAAAAGTAGCATGACTCATCAACAAAGTGTGTTGTAGGGAACGGAAATGTGGCATAGGCAGGGATCTCTCAGTAAGTAACGTTAGGCTTGATGAGTTTGGATATTAGTTGTAAGCAATGAGGCAGAATTGAGTTGATTTAATTGTAAAATTTTATTATCAGTTTCACCATGTTTTTCAGTTCTCTTGATTTTGTGTGTTGTGACCATTAGACTTTTTAAAAAAAAATCTCACACCATATGTGCACAATTATGTAACTTTAGGCATAGCCTTTTGCTTTTCAATTTACTCTGTTATTAGGTGGATATTTGTGAACCTATCATCTTGTTTTAGTGGTCTTTTAACTTGTTTATAATATCTCATATTGAAATTATAGCATAATGCCCTCGTGAGCAATTACTAAATCTGTGTTAAATGTATTTGCCTCGTTCTCATTTCTTTAGGTTGTCTATGAACATCGCAAACTAGGTTTCTCTCAGGTTCTGTCAGGCTCTAGCCTGTCTTCTCTAAAAGTGCTTTCAGTGAAAAGTGATTTGTAGACAGCACCCTGAAATAAGAGTTTTTGATTACTCTGAGTGCTTTCTATAAATTGCAGATTCATTGCTTTTTCAAATACTTAGTTTTCAGTAATTATTTGTTTAATGGATGTTTATCTTATAGTAGGCTGAGCATGCGTATCCAAAAATCTGAAGTGCTCTAAAATCTTGAAACTTTCAGTGCCAGTAAGATCTTTCAAAGCTTGAGGATACCCAGCCAATAAAATTATGCAAATCTGAAACATCTCATGGTCTCAAGTATTTTGGAGAAGGGATAGTCAACGTGTATATATTTAAGATGTACTAGATCTCAGAGCTGGAGAGATGGTTCAGTGGTTAGGAGCACTGACTGCTCTTGTAGAGGACCTAGGATCTGTGCTCAGCACCTACATGGCAGCTAACAACTATTCATAACTTGAGTTCCAAGGGATCCAGTGCTGTCTTCTGGCCTCCACAGCCATTGCACAACATGGGTGCACTTACATACATACAGGCAAAACACTCATACACA